AAGTCAACATTTTTCTACCGCGTAGCCCTCACAGTGTAGTAGAGATGGTACCGTGTCCTTTGTCAGAGTCTGTCCATAGTGAGTCTAACAACAAATTCAAGTAAAGTTCACTAGAGAAATTGTTTTGCATGGGGATTTATAGGCTTCTTAAATGTATCTGTATGGTGTCAGTACATTAGCAACCAGGATGTGCAAAGGAGAAAAACTCTGTTTTATTCAGTTAGGTCTTTAAGGCTATTTAACTAAGAATAGTAGTTTCATGCTTCCCTACTATAAGCTTGAACTCTGGAAGTTGACCTGTAGAGAGATCATTTTGTAGCTGGGGAATGTTCAGAAGTTAGCTTCTAGGCATGTGCTAGAAGATGGGAATATACTTTCAACACAAAAAATCCAAACAGCAGAGTGAAAAGGCTCACTTTCTCCATGAATGCTTTTGCTAGTGTGCCATCTGCATTCCTCACTGCAACTGGCATTGTCCCTCTAGTACCCAAAGTCAGCTGAGGGAATGGAACATGAGATCATTACTGTGAATAAGAGCAGCCACCTACAAGCCTACTAAAATTCTTCTCAGCATATGTGGTGTCAGTGTAGTCCAAAGTAATGATCAGATGATGCTAAACTCTCTTAAAAAGATCTGTTCCATCATCTCGAGTGCATCTCTCAGTTGCCTTTGGATTTACTTGTTGGTTTTTCCCCCCAGGTGCTGTAACATCCATGTGGATGAATGAACAGTGCAACAGTGTTATTACAGGAGGGGAAGACAAACAGATCATGTTCTGGAAACTGCAATACTAAGTGCCTTTCCCTCCAGCCATTTAAATGAACTCTAATTTTAAACCAAACCTTTTAAAAGAATTTAACTGTGTGCAATGATGGCTGCAGAAGTTCAACGATATAGGAAGCTTTGTTCAACTACAACTTTCTATGTTACGGTGACTTCACTGAGAGCTCTTAACTTCCATAGTGTATGCATTTGCTTTTCATGGACTATCGTACTGAAACTGCTTGTCTAAAATGGTATCTGATATGAAATTAAAGACCTATTTTTCTGTAATTAAAGAGCTCTTAACTTGCAGTCATTGTTTGATTTACATGGAATGCATCATAACTTGTTTGAACTGGTTTGAAAGCAGCAGCATTTGCATTCTTTAAATGAAGCCTTTTAGAATGGGTGCAGCTTAGTGCCATGTCTCACGACATCATGCATGTACCTCTTGTGTAGTCAACATTTCTTCTTGGTGAAGGTGCATGTAGTTGTAAATACTACTCTGAAATCAGGGCAGCTGTTATTCTGAGCAGTTGTCAAGTCTGGTCTACTACTCTTCAGCTGTGGCTATTTGCAAAGGCAGAATAAGAACATATTCTACATTGCTTTTTCCTGTTGAAAAATAGCACCAATGCATTAGCCTGAAAGGAAGACCAGCATAAAACTTATTGCCTAACAGAACAGTTACACATACAGGTGTGGATATAAATATTCCCCTAATCCTGTACCTGAAGTTTAGTCTTTTATGCTCTGTCGTTTAATTATATTACTGTCAGTCTCTTCATGTTTTGTTTAGTGTTCTCAACCACTTTCAACTCAATCAGCTTTGAGATGGCATTTAAATACAGCATTTAAACAGCTCCTGGGTTTATCCAAGCCCTTATTGTCTTAACCCAGGGACAAAGCAGCATTGTATGAGACTTACTTTCTTTGTAGGACTTCAGGATATTGTTTCCTGGGAGGAGCTGTTCTGAAGTAGAAGACTTGAAATAGTATTTAAATGGCTTATGTCAGCAACAAGCACCTGCAGTTATGACTTTGCCCGAGTATAACCCAAGATCAATATTTATTCTTCTGCAGGTATTCTCTACTGTTGGTGTTAAGGTGCCCTGTGACAATGTGTCCAAGACAAGCATTCTTCTAAATTATGTTCAGTCAGGGAGTAGGTGTGGTGAAGGCACATGTGGCAAAAGACTAAGCTGTATCATGTATGTGTGCTGGTATCAGCCTTAATCGGTTTGGTGTCTGCCCTGTTTCTTCACCTTTCAATTTATTTATTTCCCCAGACATATCTGTGTATAGGCAAAGAAGATAGAAAAATCACATTCTACACTTGCCTGGAAATGTCTTGGTTGATTTCTGGATTGTCCTTTGTCACTAGGGGCCTCCTGCTGAGCTAAACCAAAGGAAAATGACCCTGAAGTTTGGGACCCTTGAATTTTGACTTCAGCTACCTTAGAGAGAATACACCCTTAACTTTCATTTGGTTAAATATGGATGCATGTCATGCACAGCTCTTCAGTGCAGCTGAGGTTTACTTTCTGCAGTAAAGCACACTCTCAAAACAGAGCCCTCCTCCAGCTGCTTCATTGCCTAAATCAGCCACAGCTTTTTAAAGAGGAATAAAATCAAGTTACCCCGTGACTAGGTTATATCATCAGTATGTTGTGTTTGGTTCTTTTTTAAATCAGATGTATGCAAGAAACTACATAGAGACTGATAATTCTTGCAGCTTAACTCAAATTTATCTATGTATGTACATTAAACCATAAGTTACTCTTCACTGCTAGCCAATTTCTGCCTTAAAACAAGAGGTTTTTGATTATTCTTTCACTTCGATGCTACATGCTCTCTCTGGAAAGAAAACACTAAGTACTTGTACTGAAGTTCTACCTCTTTGCTATTTCTAATGGATCTTCAGTAGTTACAGCTGTTTGATAACAAAAAATAAGTACTGTCTTATGTTCCCCCAACATGTTTTTGTCTCAGTTTACTTTTTTATTTTAAGTTTTAGTCATAGTTTTTCTTAGTGGGGAGTCACAAGGTTTAGGTGACCAAACCCCACTGGTCAAGCTGTAAATAAGGAGTTTTAAAGCCTAAGTAGGTATAGAACTGGCCACTGCTGACTCATCTGCTCTTAAGTAAAAGCTGGTTAGAGGCAGAGATCAGTATTTCAATAAGACAGTGGTTTGCACTCCAGGGATTTCATAGCTAAGCAAATAAGCTTGTCAAGGACCTTAGAGATGACTGCTGCAGGCCACAAGTACTGTGCCCACAAGGCTGAATTATACCAACACTACATGAAGTCACCAATTACTGCCAGTGCATGCTTGCCACAGTGGTTCCACAGACACATCATTTACTAACCAAACAATCCAATTAAAATGTCAGGATGATTTTGATCACCACTACAGCCTAAACTAGGGTAATGGTTTTCTCTCTGTTACCATAACTGAGAAATGCATTTGAGAAACAGGAAACTACAAAACAGACTCTTCTTGAAGACAGGCAGAGCTGAGCTCAACACTACTAAACTTCAGAGCAGGTCTGTGGCTCAGATTCACAACTAAAGGTCCCATCCTTACCTCCATCACTGCTTTTCCTACAAACTGGAAAAGCTGCAACTAGCTACATATGCTAATAAGGGACTGGCACATGAGACTCTTACACACTGCCAAGTTCTGACATGTTTGGGTTTTTGTGTGTGTTCTCTTCTACTTGTATTTTGAAGTATTATCTCCCTTAAATGGACATGCAAGTAAATAATTAAGATACCACAATCCCCAGACCAATTCTGGATCCAACTGATTCCCCAAATCCATCTTACAACAAATAATACCTATTCTAAACTGAATTGCTTTGACTACAACTACTGCCCACTATGAGAAAGACTGAAGTTCATAATCCTAGATTTCACAGCTGAAACCTGGAACAGAGCAGGGGGGAGAATAAAGGTCACTAAAACTGGTATTTAACTTTAGATCACTGAACTGCAAAGTCTCAGCTGGAAATGCCTATCATCTGTCATGGTGGGTCCAACAGCTGAGCTCCTAATGAGATTCTCACTTGCTCTGCCCACAGCAGGATGGGTAAGGGAATAAGAAGGGCAAAAACTAGGAAAATCTGCAGATTGGAACTGATAGTCTATTAAGTGAAGGGGGGGCAATAAAAGGTGATGCGAAGAGTAATGCAAAGGCAATCACTCTCCCCATCCCACCAGCATACTGATGCCTAGCCAGACTCCAAGCAACAACTACTTTGTAGAGATTGCCCCCAAATTATTGCTGAGCAATCTGTCAAATGGTGTGGAATTTTCTTTTACTCAGTTTGGGTCAGCAGACAGCTGTGCTCCCTCTCAGCCTCTTGCTTCCCCCAGCCTGCTCACTTTGAGGCAAGGGCCAGAGAAGCAGGAAAGGCCCTGACACTGTGCAAGTACTGCTCAGCAACAGCAAACACACTGGTGTGTTATCATCCCTGCTTTGGTCACAAGCCTCAAGCACAGGCTCTACCAGCTGCCACAACAAAAGTTAACTCCAGCTCAGCCAGACTCAGTACTCCCAGCAAGCTGCAGACAGTTTTAAAATGAAACTGCAACTCCAGAATTAGTACACCTTGTAGAACAGCTGTCTGCTACTCCATTTGTTAAGCTAAAGGCATGAAGAGAACCATAGAATGGTTTGGGTTGAAAAGGGCCTTGAAGATTATCTAGTTCCAACCTCCCAGCCTTGGGCAGTGACACCCTCCACTAGATCAGGTTGCTGAGGTCCCCATCCAGCCCAGCCTTCAACACTTTCCGGGATGGTGCATCCAGAACTTCTTTGAACAACCTGTTCAAATGCCTCACCCCCCTCACAGCAAAGAATTTCTTCTGTTAAGCACATCTTGTTCAAAGTAGCCCAGAGCAACCCTTCTAAAACATTCCAAAGGCCATAAGCTTATTTAGAAAAATATTTTACACTGCATTTCCTATCTTCACTGTTATCTGAAGTAACCTCAATACCTCTGTTCATCCTAAGTATGCAGCCACACACGACCTAAAGTTTTGGTCATTTATTTGGTTATGTCTGAATCCTTAAAAGAATATGGTTAAGGCGAGAGATAAGCATATTAGTTACAATTTGTATAACAAGTAATAAAAAGATTTGAGTATCTGTACACTACTTTAATTACGTTTACTTACTGACTGGTGCCTTGAGCTACATTCAGCTTAGCTG